GAAGACAGCGCCAAAACCTGTATAAAACAGCTGACCAGCCACGTCATAGCAACATCTTGCGACCACTCTGAGGAAGATCGCTAGTGAGCAGTCGAAACTGTCAGAACCTAATAACATAAATTATCGGAAGACCAAATGAACCTCATTGAACTATGAATACAATTATTTTAGTTGTCAACTAGATTATTCTGGATTCATTTTTGCAGTTCTAATTAACTTCGCTCTCTCTCTCTTTTTTTTTTCTCTTTATTGATTACACCTCTGTCTGAAAACATGTATTCCTTGGCCCATTACTAACCTTCCCTAAAATATCAGAAAATGGCCTTATTGTATTTGATATAGAGTATCTTGTTGCCTGAAGTTATACAGCACAAATAGTGTAAAAATGTAGTGCACAGCGGCTGTGAGACAGAGGGAGAGCTGTCTTCTGTTGGAGGGACTGAACAGATGGCAGCGCCGCAGAGAGAAGCCCACAGCGGAGACTTACAACACTCAGGTTAAAACGCCCAGAGGAACCAGACACACACATCCAAACAGGCATAGAGCAAAAGGCCAAAGACTTCCTGTTTATAACCGCCAAGAGTACGGAGGCCTCAACAGGACAATCTGTTCATCTGTAGCACACAAAACAAGGTCAGAAAACTGTATGAAGTCAAGAGCAAAGAAATGCCTTTTTTAAATGACTATTGACAGAACTCTGTAAATTAGATGCAGAGAATACAGTAGAATGCACACTTAACTAGCATTAAGGTAGAGCAAAAGATATGATTAAAAATGTTGTCTGGGCATATGATGTACACTGGCAGATTTGCTAGTCATGCATATTAGTTTATTGATTTCAATGAATCTTGTAAAATAAATGTAATAATTCTGACAATATTTAATAACATTGGCTCCAGATTCGGTGCAGACAGACTACTCTACAGGTGAGTAATTTGTATAAACAGCATGCATTGGTGGTTTTTCAAATGGTAATACTGCCCCCTGCATTGTCCATCTTGTTGAGGAGGGTGGACATACTTTGAGGATGAATAGAATAAAATTATCTTTATAGAGCAAGTGAAAGCATTCTATACCCCTTGGTTGCAGCGAACTCCACTGTACGTGATACCCTGCTTTAAAAACATTATTCCTATCTATCTGTGCCTACAGAGGTCAAGCTGGACAAGCTGTAAACACTGTGGATAAAGTAATGAATAAAGCCATGAGAGAGGGTTGATCCTAGGCCTTTGAAAAACTTACACAAATACGTACATCAATAAAAAAGAAGGAATTTACTGCATCTAACCTATAATATCGACATCATTATTTGCAAGGAAAAATATATTATTAACTTGCAACAACACTTGCAACTAATGTTACTGCATTACCTTTGACTGAGACAAAGGCAACTGAGAAGTGAAATGTAAATGTTGCTGCAGCAAAATTTGAAATTCCCTCGAGATCAATAAAGTATCTCTTTCTCTCTCTCTCTGTCACTCTCTCCAAAAAGTCCAAAAAGCACATTTAAAATGAAAGCTTCAGCAAAATGCTTTAATAACTTTTCAGTTTATAAAGTTTTAGAAACTCTCTCTGTCACTCTCTCTCTGTCTCTCTCTCTCTGTCACTCTCTCTCTGTCTCTCTCTCTCTGTCACTCTCTCTCTGTCTCTCTCTGTCTCTCTCTCTCTGTCTCTCGCTCTCTCTTCTCTCTCTCTCTCTCGCTCTCTCTCTCTCACTCTCTCGCTCTCTCTCTCTCTGGCTTTCTGTCGCTCTCGCTCTGTCTGTCTCTCTTTCTCTGTCTGTCACTCTTTGTCTGTCGCTCTTGCTCTCTCGGTCTCTGCCTCTTTCCATCCAGTATAGAGTTTTACAGTGACCGCCCGCTCCTTTTCCAGAAGTAAATTTTCCATTCATTTTTCCATTAACTTTTCAAAAATCTAAGAGTTAAAAGGCATCAGGATTGTTTTAAGTCCAAAAAGCACATTTAAAATGAAAGCTTCAGCAAAATGCTTTAATAACTTTTCAGTTTATAAAGTTTTAGAAATGGATTTCAAATAAAATGATAGGTCTTGTGGTCACTATTCAGGTCCATTATCAAAAGTTGGCCTTCACCACTCCACACCCAAAACTGGACACACTACCAATTTTAACAACCCCTTAAAAGTAACATTTCTTTTCTAAGCACTGGCACCATTGGAATTAAAAGTAAAATGTGCGAGTCTGGCTAGCTAGCTGAGAGTCATGAGTGAATTTTTGAGCCATTTTATTCAATGAAAGCCAACAGATCGAATAGCATCTTCCAGGCAGTGTCATGTCTGTGCTTCTTCTGCCAGCTCACAATTGGAACAGACACACAGACCTGGAGGAGCAGCCCAGTGGTTAATTGCAATGATGAAGTCACAATCTTTTGCAAGCTTTTAATTCAATTGTGGTAATTATGAAGGGATTTGGGCACAAAAACTGTTTCAGGGTCAAGAGGTGGTGAGAGAAACTGCTGTTCCCATAACTTACAGAGTGGAGGGCATTTCAATGGGAGCCAGAATCAGTTTTAATGTTGGATAAATCTTTTGGTGAGGCTAAAATTATGACACAATTGGCAGGTTGGTATGGAAATGTGAAGAAAGAAAAAAAGAATAATAACTCCTACATCCACAAATTATTTAGCAGGATTCAGAGCTTAAAGTTGACATAAAATATATAGTTATAGTTATAAAATATAGTTCAAATAACACAGTAAGCATGACAGATGCTTCAGTCTTTAACTTTACCATAAAAAGATCTATTTTTGAAGTGGACATTGTCGCTGTCAGTTACAATCTGTCTCACTGCTACAAGTTCAAAGTCAGTTCAGCCTCATTAAAACATGCAGGTGAAATAAGTAAAAAAAAAAGGCTCTGTTGAAGTTCCCATGTGCCCTATTTAAATGAAAGCAACATTTATCCAATTAACCATCAATGTTAGCTTACTGTTTGTTTGTTTTTCTTTCCTTTAATAGCACGTATGTTAAACAGTGTAGGTGGTAGAATGGTCCCACTGCTCTGACTAGTGCTGCTCTTTACCATTAGCAGTACAGTAAATATTAAAACTAACACGGTGGAAATGTGACAGCAGCAGAGATGTTGGCCCTTGTGGTTGACTTCCAAACTCATTTTGGTACGATTTGTGATGCAAAAATTGTTCCACTGGCATGCTTGATGTATCTAAGTTGGTCCTCAAATAACCAGCTAAGATTTGCTGGACAAAGCTATAGCCACTAAGAAATCGGGATATCTAATACAGATATCCGATCATTGGTTGCTATGGGTAATAACTGATTTGCAGATACCAATATTTACCTTTAAAAAGCCATAGCAAGGCACACAAATATAAGTAAAATTCACAAATACATTTTTCACTTATAATAAATAAATAATGACAAAATGTACTTATCTGGGATATAAAATAATTTGTTACATGTTATATTCTAGTCTAATTGGTCTTCTTATTCTATTTTTACTCATCAAAAAGAACAGATCTGATGCACTGAGGATGATCTGGGTATGAACCATGGGCAAATATCGCCCAATCTGTGCAAACTGTCCACTATCAGCCAATAAAATATGCCGACATACAGTCCATTCCTACACAGAATTTTCACAAATGCCTACAAGATGTATGAATAACTCTGTGGGCTGTTGTCATGGAAAAGCGAGTGAGAGGCTGTAATGGCTCCAGTTCTACCACTCTCTGACGTAAATAAGGACTGTTTTTCTCTATATGAAACAGGAAAGACCATTTAACATTCAATTCCTCCACTCCTCTTTCTTGCACACCTTTTCAAATGCTAAAACAGCCCTTCCTGACCTCTGCAGCAACAGGAAAATCCAATATACTTTCCTCTGGCCCGCTTCTCACAGACACAGTGCGTTTGGACACACACTGCTCGATCAATAGCGGGCATTAGATGTTATTGACAAAGCCGACGGAGGTTAACTATGTGGTGTAAGTGTCCGACTGCCTATTAAACCCTGTGTGCTTGTGAAAGAGCAGTTTAAGATGAGTTACAGACACAATTACAATGCTTTTGAACAGGAAAAACACAAAAGAGGACCTTGAAATGAGCAAAATACAAGGAAAAGAGCAATGGCTGCAGTTCAAAAGAGAGAGAATGAATCTGTTAAGTTTTTTGCCTCATAATGATACAGATCTAGTTTCAGAGTATAGATCAAGGGTGCATGTTCAAGCTATTAAGTCATGAAAGGTAATGGCTTGTTCTTTGGCTGTCCTTCTGTCTGGGGTCAAATAATACAGTGTTATAGAGACATAGAAATCAATCTTTCTCCATTCAGACAAATGTAAGTATACAATGGTTATGAAATAGAAAGTTAAATTTTGAAAACAACTTCTCTCAAAACACTGACAACAATAAAATGCACTGTGGTTTAAGGCTATCAGATTCATCAAATGCAGAAATATTTTTTCAATTGTGAACTACTAATTACTACTAAATAACTACTTCTGCTTGTAGAAAAGATTGAGAGCTACTGCAAACTACAGGATGGAGGCCTCTAATATTAGGAATGAAATGTCCTGTTCAAACAAAAGTATAAATAAGAAAAGGGAAAAATTAGCATTTGATATTACAGTCTTATCTCATGAATAAATTCACCTGTTTAAAATGTGAACTTCTGGTCATAGTAAATTTCAAATATCTTTTTAATTTCTCGTCATTAAAATTTTTTTTTAAATCCATTTGATTTTGTTCCCAAAATTCTGCAGCCCTAGACTTCTGTTAGTATTTATTACAAGTCTCAGTTTTATCCCGTTTAAATACATCTGCATTATGAGTTCTGTTATTTGTCTTGGCTGGAGTTAAACAGTGGGAACTAGAAACACAACACTTTGGAGGCAATCATGGATGTCATTATCAGAGAACATTCCCCATTTTGAGGAATCCCACGCAGAGACACAGGCCCATTACAGACAGCAGCCCCCTCTCAGCAGTGGTAAAACTCCACTGTGAACGTGTGGAATGGGCTCGTACCTGGTAGGTGTCCCAAAGTCGGATAGTACAGCGCAGAGGCAGCTCTCTCATCAGGAGGTTGTTCATCCAGCGAAAAGCAAACTGTAGGTACTCCACCTCGTACTGGTGCATGTGGCGGTGCACAGATTCTGACAAAACAATTACAACATTTTAGTACAACAGTAAAAATCTGCAAAATGTGTGATCATGTTGATGTGCCTGTGACTGAAAAGGTTTTGCAGTGTTGATATTTTGTACCTCCTTAAAGGTGTACTGTGGAATATTTCTAGTGGAGGGTCTGACACCTGCTTTGCTATTTGTTATTGCTTTATGTTCCACAATATAGATTAAACCCATCTATCACAAGTGAAACAAGCAGGTTACAGCATTACACTACATTACAATTCTCTCCCTATTTACAGAAGGAATGGTATTTTTGAGCAATAGAAACACCTGTAATGAATAAATGCTAGCTGGATATGTTTAAAGTCATATCATGGAACATTCCAGACAAAGCAATAACATCTCCAAGGAAACAAGTAAATAGCGAATCCACCAGAAAAGTTGTGAAGTGCACCTTTACGACATAATGAGAAGGTGGTTTGGTGGTGGAGAATTGATATTTGAATACAGGGTTTGATACAGGGAAAGGTGACACTCATACAGTATTTTGTAAAACAATGGACCATTTTTAAGCCTGCAAAATATTCTGCTTATATAACTATATGTAGCTATAAGTATTTCTCCCCTTTTTTGTAATTTGTATGTTGCACTTACTTCCCCACTAATTTGAGAACTGTCACTTGGTCCGGTAGCATCATGTCATCATGGAGATGGAAAAAAATGTATGCCATACTATGAAACACTTTATACATAACAGTAACATCTCCATGGAGGGGCAAGGGACCATTTACCAAAAAGAAAAAAAAAATGGATTTGTACCAATCACGTCTTTAAAATAATAATTAAGACATACTGTACAGATACATCTGTGGCAGTAGAAATGGTTTGATCTTCTTTCCTCTTACCACTCAAGTGTAGCGTTAAGTAACAGAGAGGTAATTATCATAGGGAACATCACATCAAACCTGGAATGAGCTAGAGTAAGTAATCACTGTTACAGGCTATTAGGCTACATCTGACTGCGTACATTTAAAAGTAATGACGTCCCGTAATTAGTCATCTTTGGTGTATTTAATATTGTTGCTTGAGTCTCAATTTAAACAAACCACTATGGAGCACATTTCATCACTCCCTTATTACAGTCTACAGGGAGAGAAACCTTTTACAACTTTTTATTTGTTGAAAGTATAATAAGCAAACATATTGTAAAAAACAAACTGTGCCTTACTCATTATACAATGCCTTTTGATGTGTTATGAATATTTCATTTTACTCAACTGCCAGTGGACAGACAGTAGACTGTAAAATAACATTATCTTATTTTTCTTTATGCATTTGTGAGCCCTTTGTCAGATACACAAACATTATTATGACAAAAACAGTGGGATAAAATGACATTCTATACTCCACATTGATTCAGCACATATTTGCTACAATAAGACAAAAACACACAGGCTGTATAGTTGACCTGTTTTTTTTTTTTTTTTTTTTTTCTTGGAATACCCAGGTTCTCTCAGTTATGTCCCTCTTACTGTCCAAAACATGCATAGGCAAACTGTGCAATTAATAAGATTTTAATAAATTCAGACTAACTTGTTTTAAATCAATGATCTGCTTGAGTTTTTTTAATGGCGAGTTCTTCACTGCAGCCAGTCTGTCAGTAAAGATATGCTGCTTTGTTCAGACTTTGGAGGAATGAATTTGACTATTCTTATTACTTATTAACAGTTTATATCTCATTCCTTATTAACAGTCTGTTTCTTTTTAGTCATTAACAGTCTGTTTTGTCAATGATCATGAAATAATGAAAAGCATTTAAATAAAACATAACAAAACATCATGGTCAGTCAATGATTTTTTGTTTTATTTCCAAATCCTAATGGTAGGTATATTAAGGACTCTGGATTGCCTCTGTAAAAATCTATACATAATGAGAGTGAAGATCTCTAACAATGGACACAGTATGATGCATTTCAACTAAATTATTTTGCAGCATTTAAACTTCTTTCCCTCCACACCTTTCTTTACATTTTTGTGAATAACTGCCAACATTACAGAAACGGCTGATATTAATACACACTGACAACCTAACTGTGACAGCATTGTTCTCTACTCTGCCTCTTGATAAATGCTTGTTTAATGCTACTTTACATAACAAAACCTCCACATTATTGCTCAGTATTCAGCAGCGTCCTATTCGCAGTCATCAGCCCTGTGACACTCATGCCCACAGTGTCACATAATAACACATCCATAATTATAGAGCTGCCAGAGAACCCTGTTAGGAGGCAACTGTAGCATCCTTTTCTCACATTCTTTGTTCTTCTGGTTGACAAGCTTAAGCTATATGCATTAATGTAGTGACAATGACTGAAAACATAGGTTGGCGTGCAGTCCATAATAAACATGTAAGAGACACCTGTCAATCTATTCCATGGGATTGGAAAATTAGGGGTTTTATGTGACGATATCATACTCCCAGAAGGGGGCAAGAGCCAGACTTCCTTAATGAGTGTAGTGTACTAAGCTATGAAAGTAAAAAAGTAAATGGACAAATGTTTAACCTGGTGATTTTTTATTAGTGACTAGACCCATTATCTTCTTGTACTGTAACAAAAATGCATTTTAACAATATTCATTATAGCTGCTCCCCATCTGTATTAAATATTATTGGCCTATAATGAGATGGTGTAGTCCAGGAATGGTTTGATGTAGCAAAGGTTTCAATGGTGATGATATGAACAAGCAATCAATCTCCCATCCTGAAGCCATTTTGTGGATGGAAATCGAAATGTCTTGATTGCAAAAAATGATTGTGATGTTATCTGAAACTCAACAATAACGTTTCTAGAATATGATTCTGTATAGGGTTGTCGATCTAATTATCAATAGCACTGTGGAATTGACAAGCTCTTCCTCAGTACTGAAATCAAGTTTAAAATGGTAATCATGAGCTTATGTTACTTTAAAAACTGCAGAGTTTATAATTTGCTAACTGTGATCATTAAAATTGTTTTGGTTGGTTTGCCCTTCGTCCTGCAGCCCTAGATCTGAACATATATAGTCCAAGAAAGAAGGAGATAATATCGAAATGTAGCTTGCCTGTGTCTGACTGAAAATACTGAAAATACACTATTGTTGCATTATGTTCTTGAATTAGTGGGGAATGATGTTGTAATGTAATGACAGGTGTATATTTTCATACAGGTTTAAATATGGTGAAAAGAGAACACCATCTCTCTCTCTCTCCTCAGTTTAATTATCACTTGCTGCTGTAAATGCATAAACAAGAGAAGCTAGTTAACAGAGAATACATCACTGTGACATATCAGAGCAGAGACGAGGAAAGAGAGAGGAACTGTAGATGATATTAAACTACACTAATGATCCCACGCTGCCTAATATTAGCATCTTGGCCAAATATGCGGCGAAAGAGGCACTATGGGTGACGGGAATGGGGATGAGAAAAGATGGCTGACATTGAGAGACAAGGAAAAATGATATTCCATGACACATTTGTTCAGTTGTAATTGTAAATACATTGAAAATGATACAAGAATAACAAGATTATGTTCTTTTTTAGGATAATTTTACAATTTTGTGCACGTACATTTACAACTAAAACACAGCTATATTGAGCCTGTAAATTAGAAAAAAGAATTGCAGTCTTGTGCTATTTAACTTAGAAGTCTAAAATGATTGTACAAATGAGTTTGACCCAACACAAAACTGATTTGTGAGCTTTAAGCCAAAGTTGTTACCTCATCAAAAACATACCTGGAGTTGTGTTTTGGTTCATTCACACATGTTTGAGAAACTCATTATTATTAATCTGTCTGCATACTCAAAGCTCATAATACTCTTTTCCATCTTGTGATGTCTTTAAGCAGTTTTGATGTTAACAGCTACCTTTAGTTCAGGAGAATTTGGCAATTCCAGGGCTGAAATTATCCAAATGATTCTAGTGAAGATGTATGTATTAAAAACACAGTGGAAGACTCCCTGTATTACCACATGACATCACAAGGTGAAACAGTGGTTTGTGTTTGAGAAAAGAAATCATCCTAAATTCGATTTGTGTGAATGAAACAGAACACAATTCCAGGTTTGTGATGAGGAACGACATCATAACATAAATCAGAAAATAGAGCAATATGAGTCCTTTAAAACTAAACCGCTTACTGGCAACGGAAAAAAAAAAGAAAAACAAAATAATAGTTCAAAATATATATTTCATTTTAACAAAGTTTCATGATTTCATAAACTTCACTTATTTACAGGATTGTGACGTATCTATTATATTCATAGTTTTCAATGATAGTGTAGTAAGTCTGTGGTATGAACAAGTGCAAGTACAAGCAGTAAAACTTATGACTTCTTCACCTTTGGCTTGTGTCCAGTCTTTGGGGGCTGACACAGGCATTTTTATGACTGGGCTATTGCTCAACTATTTTCCAGGTTTTCCATGATGTGTGGGAACCCCAAAGAACTGCAATAAGTACAAGCGCTAAAATGAATGCCCTTTTAACCTCTGCATGGCTCCTATCCAGCTGGGAGAGTCAAGATGGCTGACGCAGACAAAATACTGGTTCACTCATACACTGACTAGGTGGTGAGTCCATACTGATGACTACAGTTGTGGACAGTCTTACTATAGGAGACACTTGCTTGTGGCGGTACAGATGTGGGTGGACAGTGAAAGGTCATAGGTCATAAAGTAACTAAAGTGAGCTAGGCTTACGATTTAGCTCATGGGGCCATTTTCACAAGTACTCCTCAGTTTGATATAAACAGAATGAGCACGTGAACTGTAACTAGTGTAAAGATTAGTATTTATAAAACAGATAGATGATAATGAGGACCTGGGCAAGGTTACAGGCAGTTATACATAGGAAAGGTAATTACTTTCTCTGCATACTCTACACCTACTCTCCCCTTTCATGTATAAATATAAAGCAGGGTTAGGTGGTGATTTTTACATTATCTGAGCCTCACACAGAACAAAGGCCTGTTCCATGTTTCATTA